TGTTGCTTGTTTTGTAATAAATGCTATAACTATAAAGGAACAAATGAAAAGATGTAATAAAAGAAAATTTAATGATCAGAAAACAAATACTACAACAAAGTACTATATTTTATTTTTAGATAGGTCTTTCATCTCTAACATGTTATAAGTAAAAACATTTCTTTCTATTCTTTGCCTTTACAACTTCTTCAGTGATTTCATCACATTTAAGCTGCTGAACAATATCTACTTCCGTACATAATAAGAATAATGAATCAAATCTTTCTTGAATCATTGTTGTGCACTTGGTTTTCCTTGCGTCCTGTCTGCTTCGCAACTCTGGGTCTTTGCTTTGGACAGCTGGTGCCCCTGTTTTGTCGATTCCCTAAGCACGTGCTTACCTTGTTTATTGGGTAATCCGTCTCTGTTTGTGGCCCCCACTTATACGCACAAACTTTCAAGTTTTGCCCTGCTGTTTTAGAAAGCAAAGACAGTTTCGTTGGGGCAAATTCCAAGGCTTATCTTTCAAAGAACCAAAGACAATGGCTGAATCCTTTGTCTCACAGGCAGGGAGCAGGAAGAAAGAAGTGGTCCCTAAACGTGTGTTTTGTACTTCGTGTTGCATAGAAACAGCCCCTTTATTTGCTTAAGTCACTGTGAGTCTGATTTTCTGTTGCTTGAAGACAAAAGCATTCCTAACTGATACTGGTGAATGAATTGAGAGCTTCTAGATACGGTAAGTGGTCAGTAGTGTCAGACGTTGCACAGAGGTCCTGTAAGGTTGGAAAATGTCTGGAGGATTTGGCTCTTGGAAACTCACCCTTGACTTTTGAGACAGCAGATTCAGGAGAGCAGCAGGGGTGACAGCCACGTTGCATCGGGCTGAAGACTTACTGGGAGGAGAAGGAGGGGAGTTAACGAGTGGAGAATTTTTCTGTGAAGGGAAGGTAAAGGATAAGACAGTCCTGAGAGAGAGAGAGAGAGAGAGAGAGAGTGGGTCGGGGGAGGAAATGTTGAACAAGTTATATGCTATAGGGAATGATCAGGGAAAATATATGAAAATACAGGAAAAAGAAGGTAATAGGTAGAGGGAGGCCTCTGAGAGATGGAGGAAGTTCCAGATTGTTATCTGGAACCCAGTTAGTAGGGTTACCTTGGCCAGGCAGAAGGTCATACCTGCCTTTGAGATAGGACACAAGGAGAGTTCAGCAGTGCCTGGCACTTAGAAGCAGCTTAGGGTAGAGACTAGAAATTATCTCCCAATCTACTTTCTTCCCTTTTACATAGGAACAGAACTTTTAGCTGGGCTTATGTTGAACTAAAGGCTGCATTTTCCAGCCTCCCTTGCATCTAGTTGTGGCCGTTTGATCAAGTTCTGGCCAATAAGATGTGAGTAGAAATGGTGGTGTAACTTTAAGTTCAAGGTTAAAGGGAAGGAGCATGTCCTCCACTTCCCCCTTTTCTTATTCTTTCTGGCCCAAATACAGCCCTTTTGGGAGGAGCTGGAGCAACCAGCTTGGACCATGAGTTGGAAGGCATGTGTGGAATGGCAAAGCAACCAGATAGAAGGAATATAGGTCCTTCATGATTGTGGAGCCAGCACATCAGCTGGAAGGCCTGCTTGAAGCTATGTTTATATTTAAGCTGCTATTGTTTTGGGTCTGTTAGTACAACAGAACTCATATCCTGACTAATACAACCCTTAAATTCCCTGGGCAGTTCTCAGGGCTCAGATGAGTCTGGAGACCATGACCGTGTAATGACTCCAGGGGGCCACTGGGTGATTTCCTCCAGCCATTCCCAGCAGCCCCTGCAAAGAAGTGGAGAAGGCAGAGGTAGACTTGACATATGCTTAGGGGTTCAAAGGGCAGGTGTGGCAGAAGTCAAGCCAAGGAGGGAGCAGAAAGGTTGGGAAGTGATGGGTTGAAATGATGGAGTTTAGACTGGAGAAAAGAGAGGTCGAGGGACTGGAGGTGAAAGAGCAAGGGTCATGGGAGTGAGGGAATGAAAGAGCTAGCAGGACTGGTTATCATACGGCACAATTCTGAAATATAGTAGTCCACACACTTGCTTATATAGGTGTCATTGCACTCATCTGGATTTGCAGTGGCACTGGACAGAAATCTAACTCAAACAATCTTAGGGCCCAAAGTAAGTACCATGTTACATGCAAGTAAGGCAAGGCTGGATCCAGGAATACAAAGGATTTCATCAGGAATCCCTTTCTCTCAGTTTTGCTTACCTTTGTGTTGCCTTCATTTTCAAGTAGGGTGTCTCCATGAAGTGGCAAAGATGCCTACCGGCCTGGAAACCCATGTAGAAAAGAACATCTTTTTATGGTATTTCCAGTAAGAGTGGCGGGATTTAGTGTCATTGGACTACCAACTCACATTCCTGAATGGGGCTGGGAAGATGGGACACTCTGATAGGCCAGGCCAGGGTCATGTGTCTAACCTGAAGCTGGGGCAGGTGGGAACAGCCTACCCAAACCACTTGGACAAAAAGTTGGGGAGAGGTGGGTTCCTAAAGAAAATTAGAGTAATGAGCTAATGGATGCTGTATAGGCAGAAACAACCTTTGTCCACTACTGTGGGCTTCACCTGCACTTCATATTCATTTACCTTGTATATCTTAGACTCTGGTCTGCCATATGGTCTTCTGTTGAAATGAAAAGAAATGGTCTAACTCTAAAACCAGGTCCAGATTTTTTCACATTGGGAGTCAGAGATCTGGTTCTAGGCCTTGTGACTTTGGGCAAACCCAGTCCTCTCTTGGGTCCTCAGTTTTCCCTACCTGTTAAGATGAAAATGCTAGTCCAGATTAGTGATTTTTGAAATGTTCTTTAGAAGTAAAAAGAAAGAACAGCTCTGGTGGAAGGGAGAGGAGGGCATGGAGCTATCTGCACCATCAGCCTTTCCCTTGCCCTTCCCCTCCCATACTAGCCTCGAAAGAATCCTATAACTCTGGGATTCCACTGGACCAGTAGTCTAAGTGATTCCTGTGAGGTCTAAAATTGATCCTTAGTCCCTCTCATATTTGGCTGGAAGGAAATCCTTCATTTTGCTTATTGACACATAGACAAAATTAGGGCTTAAAAAAATAAATGTGAAAAGGTCTTCTCCCCCAACTGGACAATATGCAAAGAAGTAGTCTCACAGAGCATGTCGCTTTGACTACTAGTTGGGGGAAAGGCTTCCTCCTCCAAACGAATTGGTCCTCACTTAAGGGTAACGACTAGAAATACCCCAATTAGATGCTAAACGACTTGTGGGCTGTCCCAGGGGTGATATCCCTAGGGCTGCTGAATCACAGGCCACCAGTTACAAGCTCAGCCTTCCAATGCCTCACCTCTGTGCTTTCAGGCTCTGAAAGTGCCAGAAGACCCCAATCACTGACAGAAACCATTATCAAGGCCCATAAACCCAAGTTTATAAAATACATGCAACAAAATTGCATGAATTCAAGGGTGTGTGAGTGTGGGGGAGGGGGGAGGGGAAGGCTAGAACCTTATTTGAATTCATGAGAAGCCTTAATTGTAAGCCAGGTTGTGTGCCAGGCACTGGGGTTAAAATGGTGAACTCACAAATGTGCTTGACACTCTTATAATGCTTAAAAGTTTAGTGGCGGAGACAAACATTGGTGTAATAATCATGCAAATAATTACAAACTTAGATTCAAAAATTATAAATCAGAAGTACAAAGAGGTGTGAGAGTTAAGGACTGCTGGAGCTGGATTTGACTTCAGCCTTCTTAAACTCTGGGCAAGTGCCTCCCTTTCTCTGGACCTCAGTTTCCTCATCTGTAAAATGGCGACATACCATCTGCTTCTGAGGAAGTCTCACCCATTCTCTAGGATTCAGTGCTTCCCTGGCTCTCCAGGCTATTCAGGGGCCCTTGCTCTGGGTTTGCATACCACTTGGGTGGTACCTGCCCCGGCACATCTCACTTCCCAAGCAGGGAGTAAACACCTTGGGTGTGATCTTGTATTATATCTCTATATCCCCAGTGTGTTGTAGTGTCTGGCTCACTGCAGGTGTTGAATGTATGGTGCAGGTAGTGTTAATGTCCTTATGGAATTTGACAGGACATTTTCCCTGACTGATTGTCCTATATGAAGTAGTAGGATGGGAAGATGATTGCACAGGTTCTGAAGCCTGAAGTCCTCAGCTGGAGTTCCAGTTCTGCCAATTATTTGCTGTGTGTTCTTGGGGAGGTTATTGGGCCTCTTTTAGCCTGAAGCTTTATCTGTATTAGGGATGATACATTACAGGGCTGCAGAGTTTTGGAAACTGCAAAATGTTATTCACCATCAACTTAATTTAAATAAAGGGAAAGGTGGAGGTGAGCAGAAGCAGAGGGAGACAACTTAATGGAGATGATCCTGAACAGATATGTAAAGTATGGATTAAACCAGCTGCCATTCAGTCGACTGACTCATGGCGACGCCAAGTATGTCACAGTAGAACTGTGCTCCATCAGGTTTTCAATATAGGGTCGCTATGAGTCAGGATCAACTCGACTGCAATGGGTTTTTTTTTTTTGGTGGGATATTTAGGAAGTAGATCACCAGGACTTTCTTCCCAGGAGCCTCTGGGTGGACGCAACTGCTACCCTTTTGGTTAGCAGCCCAGCGCTTAACGGTTTGTGCGACCCAGGGATTCCAAGCATGGATGAAGAGTCAAAAAACTTTTGTTAGTAACCAAAAGCTAAAGCTTAAACTCTGAGACTGTTTCTTCATCTCCAAAATGGGTTAACAGAGCCTCGCAGAAGGGTATGACGTTTAAATGCGACGCCAGGAGCCGAAAAGCAGCAGCAACTACCATATGCCGTGATAGGGTGACACGATTAGAACTCGCCGCGGGGACCCAGCCTGCCGTACTGACCAAACCCAAGCCCCGAATCTTTGCACCTCTCGCCCCAGGCCTGGGCAGGAAGCGCCAGCTGTGGCGGAAGGCACCCAGTGACACAGCCGGAAGTGGAAGGGCGGAGCCCCACAGGCAGCCCTGATGGGTGTAGCCGTGAGCCAATGGGAAGTAGAGGCGTTCCCATCTCCGCCAATGGAGCTCTGAACAAGGCGGGCCCTTGCGAACCGCCCTAGTAACGGCCGCATGGTAACCCGAGCGCCCGGCGTGTGGTACTCGTTGCAGTTTTTTGACTCCTGGAGTCTGCAAAATGAAGATTGAGGAGGTGAAGAGTACCACGAAGACGCAGCGCATCGCCTCCCACAGCCACGTGAAGGGGCTGGGGTTGGATGAGAGCGGTCTGGCCAAGCAGGCGGCCTCGGGACTGGTGGGCCAGGAGAATGCGCGAGAGGTGTGGCCCGTGAGCCAGGGAATGGGGGGCCTTGAGCTGGGGGCGCTGAAGTGGGGGGCCTAAGGGGTTGGGCTGCGCGCTGAGGGTCTCACCCAGTATTTGCCTCAGGGCGGTGAAGATGGGCTAC